ATGAAGGGTGTTTGTGCCTGAAAGCTTGCAATTAAAGATTTCTTTTTGCAAAAATCTTGTTCGTCTAATAAAAGAGATCATCTCTACTACGAGTCCTGATTGCCTCAGACCCCTCATGGCATTCACCCTGGGCTGTGCTGAGCAGTGTAGCTGGGAGAGGTATAGGGCTGGGGAAGGATGGCCCATGCTTTAGTGATCCCACAGAGCAATTTGGGATCTCTCCTGATGCTGCAGGCATTACCTCTTATCTTCTTGACTTGCTGTCCCACATCCATACCTTCTCACACCCTCTCCTCCCTCACATCCACTCAGGTAAGGCTTCCAGGGACCTTTTTTTGGTTTTCAGGTGTTGCTCTGGACGTTGCTGGGATTTAGGGCGAGGACTGAGGCCTCAGCAAGACAAGTTTTCTTCTGCAAAGCTCGTGTTTTTGCTTCTGATAAATGGACATGCATTTCCCCCAGGAGCAGTGGCTGTAGCAGGGAGGGATATCTGAGCCTCACTGCCTCATTAATAACTCCCACTCCTTCCACCTCCCCCACATTAACTTCCTTCCAGAGGCTGTGGTGAGAGGCTGATGGAGGAAATAGCACGTGGGCTCAGTGGGAAACCTCCAGGCTGGTCCTGGTGACACCAAGCTCCAGTACAGACAGGAGTCAAGGACACCCATGGGAGCAGCATGGGGTGCAGAATGGCGCAAAGGAGGGGAGCGGTGGGGAGACCATGAGTCTGTCTGGGGTTGTCTAGTAAGTCAGTGAAGTCATTAGGCTGCGCTGCATGTGGGACTGCTGTCCAGGAACTATTGCTGGGAGCTGGTAAGAGAGGTAATTTAGATGGGGGGGGATCTGCCTGGCAAGGTGTGGGAATGGGAGACCAATGGATAAATATTTAGTGTTTATTGTATTGTAATGATTGAGGCATTGGTAGGCTTCCACATTGCTTTAAAATGGTAAATTTATCAATAAAACATTGTGTTCAATGGAGCCGATAGGAGTAGCTAGGTGAGGGGTTTATTGGACTTGCCAGGGATAGGGAGCTCCTGGGGAACCATGAGGAAAGGGATCAGCAAGGAGGCTACAAGGGAGATGATCGCATCCCTATGGGAACTTTGTGCAGCTGCTGAGGAGTGTCAGGGGGTGAAGGCAGGGGACTGGCCCAGTTCAACACCCCACACTAGGCTGAGAGCGAGGGCAAGTGGCTGCCGGATCAGGCAGCACCCAGTGCCTTCATATGGACAGAAGCCACAGGCACAAGTGTCAGCAGAAGCAGGGCAGCCTTTCTGGCTCCATGCTGGGTATGCAAGATCCCCCTGGGCTGCTGGAGATGGGAATGCTGTGTGAGGCTAGGCAGTCTGTGTACCACCTTTGCAGAACCAGGGAACTGAGCTGTGATCAGCTCTCCATTCATATGCCTGAATTTGACCCTGGATCTCCATTGGGCCAGAACTGAAATGTCAGGGCAGACACCACACTTGTGTTCACAGCAAGCATGTTTACAGCACAGGGTAGAAGGCAAGGGCCAGTGCCCAGAGGCTCCTGGGGTGCTTGAAGGCTCAGCAGAAAGACAAGGAACTTAAATCTGGGATTAAATTGAAGAAACACTGGAAGTGTTTGGAGAGGCATCTGTCTGGTCTGTTTAACTTTCTGTGTGCTGCATCAGGCACACTGAGGCCTGGATCTTGGCCAGAGTCAGTAGGTCCTACAGTGCCACAGAGATTTGGTCAACATAATAGCCAAGTCCTTCATAAACCCTTGAGATAGGACGTGAAAGGAGATCACGTTGGTCCCTGTGAGGGTCAAATAGGAACAGCTCCAAAACAGCCAGCTTGTTACAGACCTTGCCAACCTGAAGCAGAAAAAGCTGCACCCCCTGCCATTTACTTCAGACATGGCTTGGGAATTTCCTATCTGCATCTACCTTTATGATCCACCTGGAAACCACTTCAGTCCCACTACATCCTAACCCATAGCCCTCTCTTGCTTCATTCACCACTCTAAGGCACAAGGGCTACTCCCTCAATCTATGCTGATGCCCCCCGTATATAACCACATTCCTAGTGTGGGTCTAAGAGTGCGGCTTCCTTCCCCCACACAACATAATCTTTCATCCTACCAATATCCACATGACTTCAGGCCCCTGCTCACCCAGTCTCCATAACTACCCTGATAACCTGAGTGCCATGTCCACCCAGAAGGCAGAAGGGCCCGAACTACCGCATTCAGGGCATGGCTTTGTTATAGATCTTGGCAGGTGCTGAGAGAGGCTTACAAAGACATGTCATGGAGCCAAAGGCAGAGCCAAAGCTAGCTGTCTGCAGTGTCAAACACTACAAACACATACCCAGAGACTACACGCATGACTTTTTAAAACTATAATGCCCTTTCAGTTTTCTCTACTTTATTTCCAGGTGTCTATTCAGTGTTCTGTGTACTTCTGTCCATGACTTTGACTCCTTTCATGCCTTAACTTCAGGCCCTTTATTTTTGGGGGCTGGGAATATAGACAATAGTTTAACTGCTGCAGGAAAACATTGCTATTAGTAGTGATGTGGGAAAATGCCTGTTTAGAGGAAAAGTGTTTGGCCAGTAGAAGGCTTTGCTGATGTTTTACAGGTTTGTAGTCCAATAACCCTGGATGGCTTTAAAAACATCTGTGGAGGCAAAACACAGAAGAGGGAAATGACAAGCCAAGGTCATGCAGGAAGTAACAGAGCCAAGAGCCTTCACTGCAAGAGCTGACCCCAGATTAAGCAGCAAGAAACTGGCTCTGGATGGAAAACAAGTCACTCTTGCATAATTTTATGTTTAACTGGCAGAAGTAGGAAGACTGCTGAAACACCAAAGTGCAGAACATAGCTGAGCAGGCCATCTCAGTGCAGGAAGGTAACTCAGCCTGGGAATGCTGCATGGTAAAAAGGCACATTATGTAAATTATACAGACCCTTTTCTTTCCTGTGTCCTTGTGACATGGTATTTAGCAGAATTCACACAGTCATTGGAATCTGACAGGGCTGTGAGCTGCTGTGATCTCAAAGTTGTGATCTCTGGACTGTCAACCATGTGACTTAGCAACCATGCCACCCCAGCCCCCAACTACACAGATTAAAAAAAATCTCAGAGTTGGAATCAAAAGGAAGGATAAGCAGCAGCACAAAGCTGTACAGCCTTCTTGAAGGTCCCTGAAAGAAGGATGCAGCAAGCAGGCAACCCAGACTAGTATGTTACTTCCTTCTTGAAACAAGCACTTCCTTTTTCAGCAGTATGGGAAAGGGAGACATGCACTAGGACAGAGGTGACTTTGTCAAGTCTAGAGCCCTGTTCCTCACTTCCTGTCTATTCTGCAGCCAGCCAGACTCAGGCTGGAAAGGAAATCTGTGTTGGAGCTCCCACCCCGTGGAGGTTAGGATCATACGCAGCCCAACTGGCCCAAAAAGTCACTGTGTATACATTTCCACCACTAGCACTGGCCCAAAGTCTGTGATGGCTCCAGCCCTAATCTGACCTGGAAGCAACCAGCTAGCACCATGGCAAAACGTCTCTTGATGCACATGGCTGGAGAAGGGCCAGCCCTGGTGACCAGCTAGAATTTTCTTTTCCCTGGACGTGGCTGCTGGATCCCTGAAGCAAAGAATCACCTTGCCTGTCCCAGCCCTATTGCAGTGAGCAGAGGGGAAAATAAAGCAGTTTCTTCAGGAGTACAGATATGGCAGGGTGAGGATGAATTCACAGGCCTATGATCCATCCATCCTCACATGATGACTACAGATCTACTCAGATTATGGTTTCATGAATTTAACGGAAAATGCAGAATCAGGCAAGATCTACAAAATCCGCAGGAAAAAAAATTTACTAAAAGTAAAAAATACTGGCTCCTCAGTGGGAGCCATCAGTCCTTGCGGCCACTATGGCTACCAGCTGTAGTGCTGGGAATGCACATACTCATCTCCCAATAGAAATACTTCTATGCCATTCAGTAAATGAAGGACACGTGACAGAAGGTTGCGAACTACAACACATAGTATCCTAAACAGTACACAAGTATCCTAAATGTGCAAGAAGCCCTTCTGCTCACTCTATCTCCTGCCACCATAGAGCCCAGGCCCAACCCGCAGGCCCCTCTCCTCCATTCAAGGGGACAGGAATTCTCAGCTTGTCTCTGCAGTGGCACAGGGAGAGCCAGGGATTGTCAATGGTTGGACCATTGATTTGGCACTCCAATTAACTCAGAGCAGAGATTTACACCTCTTTTCTAGCCCAGGCTTATCTATTCAGCAGTGTGGAATGAGTGTGTTCCACTTTCTCCTGTTGGAGCTGCACTAGTTTATAGCTAAATATCCATTAAAACAGAAAGAAAAATTGGTACTGGATCTCAGAGCTTTACAATGTTAAGATCCAGATTCAAGTGTCTGTACCACTAAATATGCAACTATTTGTACAAAATGGAGCAACCCTCAACATGAGAGATTCAAAGAGCACCATTTGAAATAGCGTTGTAGCCAGGATTCTTACTTGGCATACATGCAGCCTGAGTTCAAGCAGAGCAGGGACTAGAACAGGGTGCCCTATATCTCAGCTGAGTACCTAAGCCACTGGCTATTCTCAGTGTAACGTCTCCCGATTTCCAAAAGATCTCTTTCATCTCAGTGAAGAATAGGACATTTTTTAAAATTGTAAATTTTTGTCTTGAACTGGTAAAGCTGTTGTCCATGCAGATCAAGCCCTGCTTCCTAAGCATTTGTAGCTGAAGTTCCCCAGTTCAAATTTTTGCTGCTTGCTGTCCAATACAGAGACAATGGAGGGTCCTGCAGGATACAAGACCCATCCGTCCCACAGGCCTTCACTGTGGGGGAACAGAGGGAATTGTATACATGTGGAGGGGTTTGCACTGGGCTGCATTATGAAATGCAGGTCCTGTGACTTTGAAATCAGATGTTACCTATATGAAAACCATGTTAACTGTATAAGCAGCAATGAAAAAAAGAAATTTGAGTAAGAGCACCAAGTGTAATAACTGAAAATATTTTATTTGACATGAATATCAAAGTAGGAATCTCAACTTTTACATTTGTAAATAATACAGGTGACAAAAGTGCAAAGTAAGACATGCTGAAAACATCTATGCCATTCAGTAAATGCATGGACATGTGATATAAGGTTGCAAACTACAGCACGGCGATATCCTAAACAGTACACAATTATCCTGAAGGAATTAGGCAACCATGTTTTGTTTCATGGCATTCTCTAACTTCTGACCCTTTTACATAAGACTGTTTTGTGCATTGCTAAGGGCATTGGGATGGGGAACCACCACAAGGTAAAATTCAGTCAATATTCACTTCTGAGTGATGCGCATGTTTACACCTAAGGCCCCTGAAAACCCCAGAGAGAGAACAGTGACTGGACTTCATGGACTGTTCATGTCAAGAAGAAATTTCACAGTTTGAGAGGTGAACTCAGAAAAGGGAAATCCTGGCTGATGATCAAAAGATTTAAGTAAATCTCTTAGAAAGGAGAAAAGGTTTTGTCTAATGCTCCCCCCCGACCCTTTTCTCGTATGCTTTTAAAATGTCAGTCTGAAGCAACTTTAAAGTGTAGCTGTTTTCTTTTGGTTCAAGGTTGCCATTCCCCCCTTTCTTTTAAGGCACATTTGTAGAAATCTTTGAGGCTGACAGCCAGAAGTTACCATTTACATGGCATTCGGTTACTCAAGCTTTTTATTTTTAAAGAGAACTTTTTTTTCTGTAGAAAGTTTTCCTGATCTCCACAGAGCTGTAAAGGCAAAAAGAAGTCAAGTGCAATACATAGCATCTTTGCATAGTTTGTGCAGAGGAAGAACCGACAGTATTGGCGGGCTCAGATGTTCACACATTACTACCTGCTGAGGGTAAAGGCAGTACATTAGTGAACAAAGTCACTTCATGGTCGCTGTTGAGTCCTTGTGATGTTTAAGAGCCTACAAATAATTTGGTGTCTACATGCCGCTGAGAATGAGCGAGGGTGTTGTGGGAGCCTCACTCTGAGCACCTTTGAAAAGCTCAGTCTGCTAATGTGTGTTGTTGCACATGCCTGAGTTTTGCAGGGAGAGAATTCACCCAGTTCCTGGAGCAAACCCAATTCATGTGCTACCAACCATGTCTCTGCCAGAATTATTCTCTGTATCATTTTCAAGTTCAAGTATTTGTAAGCTGGGCTGCTTAGCCACTGGTCCTGCAAAAAGGTACATGCAGTTGGGCAGGCAGGCAGTCACCAGAGTCCCATGGAAACCTGTTGGAGCACCCAAATCTGCCTGTACCAAGCCCAAGATTAGACCAGAAAAGGTACCAAGAAGCTCCTGCTCCCCATTTTGCTCAGAGCCAGAGCTCTCACCAATTTAACTACAGGTGTAATTTTATACAGATGTGGCTAAACAGGTCCAGTTCTGCATGCAGACACTCTTATAGAGGTTTCAGTGCCTCTGGTAGATTTACAGATGTCAGCTATAATAACCAAACCAGTGACAGCACCTGCCCTGGTTTAACTTCACATAGATATAACTTGTGTGCATATACAGCCTTTGGAAATAACAGACTGAAGGACAACTGCATCCCACGCAGACTTTACAACCCATTATTGGGGTCTTCATCCAGACTTCAAACCACAGCCAGCAGCCCAAGAACTAAATCTGAATAAGGCACAACCAGTTTGAACAACATAGGGGCTCTTCTACAGTGAGAAACAACTATTTGAGCTGCCCCACTCTTCTCAGGAAACAAAGAAGAGTAGAGGAACCATTCCCACTATGTAGAGATTCAATTCAACCACCAGCTGGCAGGAGTGAACTCAACAGGCACCACAGGCCTCATCTACAGGCTACTGCTCCTCTTTGAACCAAGCTCCAGCTTTGCAAGTTGCTGGAGCGAAGTATCAACAAGGAAAATCACAAAAAATTGCCGGAGAAGTCATTGTTGCTTTTGGTTGAAATACTGAACACTTTCCAACCACTCTCAATGCATTGATTTTTGAGGGGTTCTCATTTTGTCATAAAATGGAAAAGCAAGGGATATATACAGCTAGCAGTGTTTCTTGTGTGTATTTAAAAATAAAGTATTTTAAAGATCTCCCCAACAGCTAAAAAAAATGACTAAAATTGTAACTAGGAATAATTCCCACAGCATAACTGACACACTTAGAAGGGGCTTTGAATAACATAAAATAAACCTTGTGTTTACTATCCTGTTAGTACCAAAGCATTAAAGGAGTGCAAGATTTTTATGGACAAATATAAGGAGCAAAGTTAATACCTGGCTTATATACAATGAAGCAGCCTATCATTATAAAGATACATCATCATTTATAAAGACACACTGTTTTTAAGGCTTAGTTTAACAATTATGCTGCACCCTAGCTTAATCAGGGTATTAACATACTGTATAATGGCATACAAAAATTACTTAAAAAAACCAATGTATCCCACAAAATCTTATTAAAATGTCCCAGCAACACAACAGTGAATTCAAGTTTTATGTACAACACTGCAAGAAAAATATTTTCATTTTTATGAATCTTTTACAATATTTCAATGAGGTGATAAACTTTTACAATAGTAAACAAATTTTGGTAAAGGTTATTTAAGAATGAGATTATTGTTTCATCCCCAATCACAACCCATTTGCCTTTCTTAAAAAAAAAGGGAAAGGATGAATCTTTCTGCTCTACAGCAAGAAACATCTTTACATTCAGAAGAAGGTTTATCTGGAGACAGAAACTGTGCTGATCACAATATTTATTCTACCCATTGCATCCTTCCATTAAGATTTCCATCATTTCCTGCCTGTGTAGTGCTTAATGGAAGATGGGCTCCCAAATTACTTAAAATCCCCTTTGAGATTACACAAAATGGACTATCTGTAAAATTTAAGCTAGATTTTGTTTTGGTAGATGTTAAACAAGAATATATGATACTGCCTCCATTAAAAAAATCTAATACAAAGTGTAAACTTGTACAACTTCAGCAGCATTTTCCAGTCCTTCATAGCATAACAACAGTAATGAATTTAAAGCAGTTTTTCAATCTACCTAATTTAAAGGATGGAGGGGTGGGGTCAGGGGAGAATATGGGTATTAACTGCTGATTCACCACAGCTTGTGATCAGTAAAATTTGCATACAACTATTAACAAGGGGAGCACTGCAGCAAATATATAATATCCAACATTTTCTGGCAATGTAAATATTCACAACTCATATTTACAGATCTTAAATTTATAAAAATAATGTAGAGCTAGAAAGTTGTATAAAGTCAAGTTTGGATTAAAAAAAATAATCTCATTTTTCCCAGCCGTTTTGGGAAAAAAAGCTCTGTATATTCGAATGAGGCTATCTTGTTCATTTTGATGAGAGTGCAGGTCCTAAAGATCCGATGTTCCTGGTAAATCTTCTCATACGAAATCATTTGATATGCCTCTGCAACACTAACTTTTTGGTGAGCCAATATCCACTAATATTTTTGTGTATAAAGGGTACTTGTCAGTTCTTATAACCTTGTAGGATAGACTGTTTATACCATCAGAATTCATTGTCTCTCTTGTGTGAGCAATTCGATCAAATCTGTGAAAATAAAAACATAACATTAACATCTTAATGCCTTCCACTTCCAAGTTACATATCAAATCCTCATGCATTAGAGCTTCAGAGTTGAGTGACCACAAGAATCAGTTCAAAGGATTTCACAGATTTCATAGACATTAGGGCTGGAAGGGACCCCGGAGGATCATCGAGTCCAGCCCCCCGCACCAGGGGCAGGAAGTCAGATTAAACACTCCACGTTAATCTTTAAGCAAAAATTTAGGCACGAGAGCAAAGTACATTGTGTGCAAGCACCTGTGTGTTCAGGCCTTGAACACTGAACAGGAAAAAGTACAGTGGTTAGGGTTCTCAGCCTTTTCTATTTTCTAAGAAAGGTTCAGCAAGGGTAGAAAAATACCTCTCTGGGTTGGGCTCATTTTTATGGTCTCTTGAATGGCGAATCATTCGGCATTTCCCAATTATAGCATCTGGGCGAGATATCCCCATACCTTTAAAAACGAGTCTGCAAAAGTAAACATATGAAAAGTTTATTAATACTCCTGAAGAGTGAGCAAGTGAGTGAGTGTACAGGTAAAATTGCTTCTACTACAAACCTGGGCACTGGTTACAAGAGCAGACTGGAAAAAGCCATCTCATTCAACAATAAAGCTCCTCAAGATAAAGCCATGCCTAAGGTCATGCCCAGACAGTTGCTCCTTTACAGCCACCCACAAGACAGTGTTATGAGCAGGGATCCGGGTTTTTCACTTCTCACAGAAAAATGGAAAAAACCACAGATTTTACACTTTACCGGAGGAAACCACGAATTTTTCATTTTACCAGAGAAACCCACAGATCTGTAAGGGGCTGGGTGGGAGGGAGTGGGGGGACGCCAGTCAGGCAGGGGATGGTACATTCACATGGCCACCAGACAGCCTGGAGAGCAGCTCCCGCAGGTAAATTGGGGAGAGGGGGGTGGGCCTGGCCGGCGGATATTGAGGTCCCCATAGGGAGCAAGGGAGGGAGTTGGGTACAGATGGGGCTGTTGCCCAGCCAGGTGGTGCATGGGGCTTGGGGCCCAGGGCTACATTATACAGCCTCAGGGCCCTGGCATGGAGTGGGACTGGGCCACAGGCAGCTCATTTGGCCACAGGCAGCTCCCCACTGCTGCACACACTCCCAGGGGGGCAGGACCCATGTCCCCCATATCTGTGCGCAGGATGGGGGCAGGCTGCCTGCTGTTGTCTCCCCACCCTGCTGCCTTCCCCCAGAGCCTCCATAGCCCAGCAGGAGTGACCCAGTTCTGCAGGGGTGGTGGCATTGGGTTGTGCCCCTTGCTGCTGAGGACGCCTCACCAGGGCAGTGTGGAGCTTGCAGCAGCAAGATCCCAGCATGGTCCCGCTCTGCCCTACAGCACCTGGTTGCACCTGCTGGGCTGCAGAGGCTGTGGAAAAGGGCAGCAGGGTGGGAGCCCAAGCCCGAAGTGGGCAGCCCAGGCCTGGCCCCCCCCTGT